AAGAGTAGCATAAATCCAAGGATCCAAATGGGCTAAAAGCATAAAGTAGAAAATTAGAGCTCTGAGTTGCAAACATTGTGTCATTAGATTGACATTTTTATACAATGACAGTTTCTTTCTGTGAGTTTGGTGATTTAAGATGCTTTGTTAGCAATGTTATTCTTTCACTCAGAGCCATACTCATAATATGCGTTTTGTTATTTGGCTTCAATACAGAAGTTTGTTATTTCACTTTTATTTATACTTTTTGGTTTTGATCAAAACCTGAGTTCATGCTTGCAGCTCAAGAAATATATGCAGAAGGAATATTTTTTTTTCATGTTAACAGATTTGTTGCTTCCTGTTGGCAGTTAACTGTATCAAAATTTAGAGGAATCTTTTTGATATGAATAAATGAAGATTCTGATCTGAGATATCATGGTATGAAACTGTACTCTTTAAAAGATTTGGATCTGAGAAGCATTTTCTGCTAAGTGATCGTTAGAGGGTGAATTATGAATCAGAAGATAAATTACTAAGGCACTACTCTTGAAGTGAAATTGACTTGAGGAGAAAGCTTAGTACTTTCTTGCCAACAATAAGTGAAGAAATAGGAATATATTCCTCCACCCCCACAGCAAGCAAAGGCCCAGCGACAGGTCATGTGCAAAGGAACAAAAGAAAGTAAAAAAGTACACATCTATGAGGCAATTTCCATTATTTTCCCCCCACTTCATGGAAGGGGGAAAAATCCACTGAATGGTCCCCTATAGAATGTGAAGGAGCAACATATCAATAGAGTCATCAACTAATTATCAACGTACTCATATATATTTGGGTTAATTTCACGAAACACCCTGAACCTTGGAGTGTCTCACAAAACCCCCCTAACGTTGAGCTTTTTTCACAAGACCCTCTCTAGATGATTTGCAAATAATTAAAATTTTCTTGAAAGGAAAAAAATTCCAAAAGTAACAAAGTTCAAAGTTCTTTCTCTTTGCAACATTTTAGTTATTTAAAAGTACACGCTGTTAGTCAAGTTCACAAGGTTTTTTTTTTGACATGCTAAAGTTCAAGAAGTTATGTGAGGGATTTGTGTGCAACACCCGCGCTAAAGTTTAGGCGATGTGAAATTAGCCCTATATCTCTTAATGTAACTATAGACAACAGCATCTACATCTGCACCGATCGATATTAATGAGGTGGACATTAGTGATATGTGTATTAATATTATTAATGTAAAAGATCCATCTCTTCATTTTTCCTATACAATATTCTATGTAGGATACTCTAGGATATTTTTTATGCTGACTTCACTTTGTTGTCTTTAAACAAGTGCTCAGCTCCAGCTCTAAAGGCTCTGCCACCTTGCAAGCCAACACATGACATGGGCTTATCCCACCGCACCTACCCGTCACCATAATTACTGCACAATTAAAGTCAACACGCGATAATTCTTAGCTGTTTTCAGTTGCATACAACCATAAATTCTTCACTTACAGTCAATTGTAAAAGTGTGAACAACTGTTAGGTGTCCTCCTCAAGATCCTCGCTAGATCTTCTCCTCTTATTTATACAACTGAGGTGAAAAGTCATATTCCTCTTAGGAACCACAGGATACCCATTTGAGATTTCTCCTTAAAATTTTAGTTTTTTGAGTCTGAAGAAAAATTCTAGGATACCCATTTCTCTTCTGTCATGGGATTGGGAAGGGGTCTGGTCAAAAGGGTCTTCTGCAAGAACAAATCTTCAATTGGTGCTGCCAATGTATGTATAATTCTGATTGAATTTGAGTTCTTTTTGATTTAATACTTGTTCAATTAGATGTAACAGATTAGTTCTTGATGGATCTAATTTCACAAGTCAATGTGCCATGTTGCTTAGTTATCTAATTGTTGTCTTGGGGGTATTTCTGTTCTAATTGCACGCAAAAAACAAAATTAAAAACTGTTCTTTAATTCCATAGGAGAGAAACTTTGGTGTGGATAAGAGTAGATGGACTTCGGTGAGGCTCTATTTATGTGGAGAAGAATTGAACTCGGTTATGGTAGAAAACGATTCAGATTCTATTAGGAGTTCAGAAGCAACTGTGATGCAACCATTTCAAGAAGATTCAGTGGATGAACAAAGTTCCGAGATAGCGAGAATCGAAGAACTTGATGAATTAATCACAGAAGAAGAAAATGCGCTAGCTAAGCTCAATGAGGAACAAGCAGCAATCTTTATTCAATCAGCATTCAGAGGCTTTATGGTTTCTCCCCCCTCAAACTCCTTATATAACTTGTGTAACTGATGTTGTAGATTACTACCATCTCATTGCATTTTTAGTTGTGTTATTTTAGGCAAGGAAACTGTATGGAGAGATTTGTAAATCCAGTAAAGGGGATGGGATTGGAGATGAAGATCCAAGTGTACTGAATGAGGCTGCATCAATTGAAGTTCTAGTAGATGATTCTATTGAAAATTTTAGCATTCTTGAAGAAAATGGCTCGATGCATCATCGGGTGTTTCATAAGTCCAAGAGCCAAGTCTACAGGTTGAAGGTAGTGTTTTTTTTTTTTCCATCCTCTTTTAATATATTCATCTTTCTTGCAGTTCTGGCCATAAATTGATGAGTAGTAGTTTAGTTTAATATATTCATCCTTCTTTATGTAAAACATTAGGTACTAGAGAAAAGAATTAGGTGGCAAAGCTGAGTATTTTCATTCTGGGATGCCAAGGTTTTGATTTCTTTCTTTTCATGCAATTTTGTAATAGCTGGTCATGGTTTGTTCACATATTTGATTACGCATCTATATAATTTACTTAACAAATTAATAGGACCGTGGCAAAAGGAAAATTACTTGAACAAACTGGTCAATCTTCCCATGATTTGAGATGAAATAAGCTTCTAACGGTAGGATCAGGGTTA